GAAATACACGTTTTACATTTTAAGTTTTATTTATAAAATTGTAGGTAGGTAATAGACCTATTAAACACGTCAAATATGTTTGTTATATGATTGTGTGATTGATATCAGAATGCACTAATGATTTTTTTTCTTATAACTCGTTGATATATTGTCATTGGTAGAAACGGTTGCCACGAAACATTACCACGACCTCATTTATTGACTGATTCTTTTGTAGTATACTTATTATCAGAAAGAAAAGTTGGTATATCTGCAATTCAATTTTTTTTTACTGAATTTGAATCTTGGAAGTCTACTTCAAACGCCAAGGTACAATCTAGAAAGATTACTGAATATTATTAGCAGTTCTCAAATTCATCGATAAAAATTTTTAAAGATGTTTCTGTATGAGTTATGTATGAATCATCTTCGGGCGTAAACATCTTAGAGAGCATGTTAATATTATTACGAATACGAGGAACAGATCCACGATTTGGGTGCGGCTTTTAAACGCTGTGTAACATTCGGCATATTTACTAGACGTTATTTTAAATTGGATTCTAATGCACACACTACTTATATACTTGGTACAGTAATAACAACGAATATTTGTTAAATTGGTAAGTTCACTACTTTGCATAACTTTTTTAGACTTTTTGCTATTCTGATAGATTAACGATGAATTACAAGGTAAAATGATCGAGCAAGAAATGGAGTGGACGAAAGGACCCTCCCCGCACGACGTACCATTCCTTGCCTTTACATCATTATCATCTGTCGCGCCCTGGGCAACAATTGGCGAGTACCTTACCGCGATTGGCAAATACTTTCACCCCGTTGGCAAGCATTATAGTGTATGGCATCAACACGACAGGAAGAATAAGAAATAATCAAACCTAGCTCAGTTTTTGACTGAACAAAACGTGAATGGTGCTAACTCTAAATCATTACTTTATCAACAACTGGATAAGATTTTTTAAGAGATTAAAGACAATCTTGAAACTCGAAGGATAAGAGGGAGTGGCTTTAAGTCAGGGTTCACCTTGAAGATGTCGTTGAGCATCACGCACCTAAATGAATTTTATTTATTGTCTGGTGACGTCACGCGCCATTGACCCGCGCCGTGCCTGCGTCTAGCCGATAACTCATTAGATACATCTAATGAGCATGACCCTACTAATGCTAATGATAAAAATCGTTAGAGAATTATGCAATGGTAGATACTCGTACACTGAATTTAGATTTCATTTAAGTGTGTAATTATATTTGTATTGCCCTCTGCAAAGTAATTAGATGGATGCTATTCTGATAGTAACCGAGTTGAATGGATTATAATAAACTGCAACTAGATGTTTTTAAATAAAATTATCGATAGAGACTGACGATAATATACGCACTACTAAGATATATAAGGTATAATTATATGATATATATGTATATGTAATGAAATTCATAGTAGACAACAGGGTTTGAAATTATCAAGATATTTATTTTATTCGATAAATATCCGATAATTATCCATGCTGATTCATAGTTTTGTCTATTTATTTTTTAACTAAACATGACATACAGTGAGAAAACTAAATACATACGAAGAAAAATCTTCGGTAAAACGATTTGGTTTGTGACTTTGTGTAGTTTGACATTAGACAGACACGTTTGGATACACCGTGAATGCAAACACATGACACGATATTACTAGCGGTAGCACTTTGTTGTTCCAATTAATTTTATAAATGTTAAGATAATTATTGATAATAATTATCATTCGAAACCTGGTAGACAAGCAGACGTGAACATTTCAACGTAGACCTTTTTTAAAAAAGGGGAATTATGATTTCTTGTTAGTACGTTAATATTTAATCATTGTCCGTTTAGAACTTTAAAAATAATTAACGTTGTTAATCTATTACTTAAAAAAATATGGTGATAAATAATTTTATTTTTAAGGGCTAAGTTTATTAAGACTTTGTCGGCGAGTAACGCCGCCTTTACTGTGGAAATTATAAAAGTCGCCAAAGTTATTCATTTTACGCAAGTACAAAGTATTCAAAATATGTGTAAGTACGTTTAACAAAAACAACATGTGTGTGAGTGTCACCACTCAGAACTTTAAATCGTAAAGATCTGAGAGGCACTGCCACTGCGGCCGACACCTTGAGATATAAGTTGACAAGTCTCATGTGCCTGTAATTTCACCGACACCATTTACCCTTCAACACTAGAAGGCAGTAATGCTCATATTTAACTGGTTGGCGGCAGAAATAGGCAAGGAGGCAGTACTTCCCTGGACGAACATTTTCACAAGGACCTCTACTGCTACTAAATGTCAAGCATTTAACTGCACTTTTAAATTTTCTCGTATTATAATTTTACGTATGACTTAGTTGGTTTTTATCACAAGTCGTCTGCACATTTTGAACTCGGAACATATTAATGGTTAAAATTGACAACTTTCGATACATATACACATTGACTTATTGTAAGTCAATGCATATACATATTTGTTTAGTTTAACCACGCGGGTAATTTCGACTTAACTCCTCATACGGTCGTGTTGGTATGTAATTAATTTTATGTAAGTCATTCAATGATCATCAATTTTCTCATTTTTTCCACAATTTTCACTACATATTAAAGGAGAAAGAAAAGAAAAGAATAAAAATCTGTGGAAATTTCGTCAAATCATGATAATGTGACTGGCTGGCGACGTAGTATTTACAAGGTTGTGACGATTGTGCTAAACGGCAGTGTAAACACCTTCAAGCAGACGTAAGTACACTTACAGAGTTCGAGAAGTTGGCATTCTTGTGTTAGAACGCCTACTTCCATTAAAGTGCACCTTCATTGGACACTACAAACGAGCACATTATGATTTTAGCGAGATTCTAATAAGAAATAATGCGAGTATGAGTCAGTGTTTAGCTTGTTATAAATAGAATAATATACAAAATATGACGTTGTTAAAGGTCTTTTTTTCGAGTTTAACTCACGTCACGTCATGTTGGTTAATACTGACGTATTAAGTAAAATATAAGTACGTAAGTTTACGTGGATATACAATGGGAGTAATATCTCGAGCTCTATTGATATTAAAAATAAATATTAGTTAATAAGTTTTAGACATTACATAGTAAGATAAGAAATACTAGTGGAATAATAATATTGCACCAAACAGTATCAGTAGAGCACCTTGTAAAAGAGTTCGCCCAGGAAGTGCTGCCACCTTACATACATATTTAACTGCCTCGGTGGCCGAACGGTTACAATTTTGGAATGCTACGCAGAGGTCCCGCGTTCGATTCCCGGGCCGGGAGAAATAATTGTATAGCCTACATTTATTTCTCTCGTCAATTTGGGTGTAATTTGTGGTTGTCTATGGTATTCGCGACGCAAGGTTGTTGTGCTGGGCTATGAGTGTATGCGTTATTTATTTATATTTCTGCCGCTGACCAGTTAATTTTACCATTACTGCGTTCTGGTTTTGAAGTGTAAGGGTGCTGGTGAAATTACAGGCACATTTCTACTTATGTCTCATGACGTATATTTGCGATTTAAAGTCCTGAGTGGCATTGCAACTGCTACGGACTGACGTGTTGGTCACCACCAATCACACAATTTGTACGCCCCGGCACTTGGTATCATACAAAAAGAATAAAATAAAAAAGTTTTGTAGTTGAACGAAAATTCTATCACTTGCTTCATAATGTGGCGTTTAGGAAACAAACGCGTCTAAAACTACGTTAATTTATGACTCGGAACTACTCGCTAAATACAGAAATACAAAGGCGCAGTGACGTACGAGGCGAGCGTAGCGAACCGCCGGTGCAGCTAATAAAATATTGCATGAATTACTCTCTGAACACTCGCAGTTATTTCTGTATTCAGCCTGGATCTGCTCCAAAATTCACATGAACATCAGAATCATTCGGTCACTTTCCCGAGTCAATGACTCAAGCGTAACTCCCGTCCACGATGACTTAGCTTTTAGAACGTAGGCGCAATTCAGAGAACTTTCTAATTTTACAATGCTGATTTCAACCGTGAAGTTCGTGGGATATGCGAAATTTGTTTTGGCAGCAATCTCGAACCAACTACCCTTCCGTGGCAGCAATAATGATTCATCTAAAATAGGTCGTGAAAATAAACCATCCACAGAACAAGAAAACAAGGAAATTTCTGTATTTCCTGTATCCGAGTTACCTAGATATTTAGTTAACGTTAAAAAAGTACATCGATAATCAATTTTATAATAAAATTGATTACAAAGATAATGAATGTCATGCATTACCAGACAGCCATCTACGGTAACAAAATCACAAATCATTGTAAACAATGAAGTATTTAGTGATACGTTACGATTAAAACTATACTAAATGTACACTTTATGTGTTTACGTTTAAGAGTTTATCGTTAACGTGGAGGTAGCGGACACTTAAACAACATCCTTGGCTGTTAATCAATGCACATTAGATCATCGTAAGTAACCTGTCCACTGACCTTAACTTTACTTACGTTTTAGCTTGAAATCCTATAATAAAATGTAAGCAAAGCAGTAATGTCATCATACGTAATGTTCACGCGTTATTGTAATTGTCAAGTAGGTAAACATATATTAACATTGGAATTCTGCTACGTAATTAGGTATTAATAAGTATTAAATATCAGGCAATCGTATAATTTCTTCGAATTTCTCTTATTATAAATGTATTTAAATGAGATCGTCTCATAGCACTTTTTAAAATACATAAAATAAATAAACAGGCTGATATTGACGCCTCAATCAAAACTCCTCAAGTGAGTAAGATAACATACGTTAGTTATGTACAATGAAAATACGGTTGAGAGACTTATCAAAAGTAAAACCGTTATAAATTGATACAAAGCAGAACGGCCTCTAAGTAAGATGGACCGGTGAATTCGGTTCGCTACGATAAAGGGATTTTATGTCGTCATTGACACATTCCTACCACTGCCATTTATTAAAACGCAGTCTTTTACAAGTATAACTTTTGAAATACCTGTCCGAAGAATCGCTCCCTGGCGGTTGTCATACTTTCGCCGCGCGGAGAATCTGTTTCATTAGCATTTATATAGTCAATTTGCGGCTGCGGGTCTTGTAAAGGAGCCGCAGAAGATGTATCTGCGGCGGGCGAAGTAGCTTGCGCCAGCGTTTCCACCGGCGCAGCCCTTTCAGATCCGTCTTCTGCCACGGTTATCACTTTTTTAACACCTTGGTCGCCTGTACCACCACCACTTACACCGTTTTTCTTTTTACAATCCTTCGTTGGTTTCAGTTTATTTTTTTTGTTCTTCGGCTCCTTCGGGGGCTTTCCTTTTCGGAAGCGTCCGCTGGCGCAGCACTGCACATTACCCATGTCGCACGCGCATGTCGTAGTGCACGGTCGGCGGGAGTCGGTCGGTCGGTCGTTCGAAGCGTGTCGGCGTCGGCGCCGAATCGCGGAATGAGAGCGTCGTGTACGTCCCCGGCGTCGCGTCGCCGCCCACAGCTACTGTATTTTCGACACAAAGTACGGAATCACGCTGACCGCCGATTACGCGGATGCCGTCCACGAAGGATCGCACCCGAAAGCCGAACCGCGTGCCGGCCGCGGTGGCGTCATCGTGCGCCGCGGCCCCCGCGCGCCGCAAGGTCAAGGCGTGCTTATTGTTCCCGCTATTGCTGGCTAGACGCGCACCGCTCAGCTCATTTGCCTGGTGACTAGGAGAAAACTTGCGCACCGTCTCTCGCTAGTCCACCGGGCCAGGCACGCGATGCCGCCTGCTGTCGGTATCGATCACGCGATGTTTACGTTCAGCTGCCACGGGAACGGGTAGCCTATCGCGTCACGCTCCTTTACAATCACTACACATGTATTAATTAGTGTTATCGTACACAAACTACATCACACGCTGAATTAAGCTTTGTAAGCTAGGTTGATAACACATTGCAAAATACAAAAGAGAATCAAATTGTTCAGAAAATGATACAATGCGTAGCTGCCGCGCTGTACAGTGCTGAGCACTACTGGTATTATCAGCGTCCGCACGGACGTTTGATAGAGCGAGAGACGCACGTGTCGCCGTCACTATAGTAAGTAAAACAATAACCGCAAACGATCTATTGAGGAAAATAGTTTGCTTAATAACATGGGATGCCATTACCAACTAGAAACGAAACATTTTGCTTATTTAAAGAGGAAACTGAATAACAGCTTATTAAGGCCACCACATTTAAAACGATAGCTGCATACTCTATGGATCGGGATATTTTTGGATTGCAGTCGGGAAGTATATTGTAGGGAAGTATAGTACAAGGGAAGCAAACCAACTTTAAAAAAGATGTAGATGAATTAACGAATGCGTTATTAGAGAACAGCTGTGAAGCATCGGAAATAGTATCGAAGTAGGACGTGGTCACGATCCGATGCCGCAATCACGAAGACACATTTAAAGTAGGCCACGAGTTTAGGTAAATCTTTGTCAACGCCTTTACACACCATCCATGTAACCATCGAAACACGACTCGCCTGATGAAAAATCGTAATTTCAATAATACTAAACAGTTTTGAACTTGTTTATTTAACAATTTTATTAGTCAAGAGCACACGTTTTCTTAAACACGATTTGGCATTCAAAGCCAGTCATTGTAAAAATGTTTTATATCAAAGTCCTTAAAAATGTTCCATTTTAGGTTTAATGTACTTTTCTCGATACTACAATATTCATACGTTGCAATATGGAAGTACATAGCATGGTTGGATAATTGTAATTTTGATTCCAGCTGTAACTATGAAACAATGGCCAACCGAACTTCCGTTGTTTACGATCACGTATGCCCTGTGTACTTTTGGAACACATGGAAGTTTTTGATCTAGGGTTATAAAATCAACAATAAACCTGACTCGGGGAGATAGGACCGGGGAGCAGAGTAGTATTAATAAACTTAAGCTAAACCTTTGATACATGATTTCTTTGATAAGAAAAGCATTTTGAAATCAAAGTCTTAACTCCACCGTTTTCAACCCAAAATCAAACTATCTACCAAGATTTACGACCACATATGGCTCATTATAACACTCACCGGTATAGTAATACAGCGCAAAGTTTACCTTTCCAAATCATGTGTTATTTGCTCGCTGAATAACATATGATTTAGAAAGATCAAATTGTAGATTTAATGTCTTGTTACTTTTGTTTTAAGTATAGCACCAACCTATTGTTTTTTTTATATCTGTGGGCACAATGGTCAATGCCATATGGCATTAAGTCCGCCATTTGTACTTTGCGCACAAAAGTTTAAATAAATAAAGTAAACACTCCTGTTTGGAATCATATGTTATTTGTTCGTCAAGTGACACATGACTCCAAACAGAGATGATTTGTTATAATATATTTGTGGTTTATTGTACTGCAGAATGGCTTGATAATTACTATAAGTATCACCTAGAACATTATTCGTCAAGTTTGATAACATTGTAAACATATATTCCTATCAAATTACGATAATAAGTAAAATAGTAGTTACATACCGTATCAGTATCACTTTCTTCTGTGGCAATTGCCACGCCTCGTGCTAAGTGCTGTTCAGCATTATCCAACTCCTTATCTAGCTCTGCAACTTCTCGTTCCAATTGCGGTGACGCTTGGAGTTCATCAATCATCAGGGACGATGTCGTAGACTCAGAACGGTGGAGACCGTAAGAAGGCATCTTCACTACCAGTGGCCGGAAATTCAAGCGAGAAGCTGAAATAGGTGTAGAAAATGTTTTTATAGGTACAGAAATCCACAACAATCAATAAACAGTATAGGTACTTATCCAGCAAAATGGATTTCAAATTATATGGATATCTTAATTAAATGATTCTGTATACAAAATGGCGTTATTGGACTGTTACTCGTAAAGGCTGGCGTAAAATATAAATAGTAATGTAAAAGCTTCTCGAGTAAGTGTGTGTATATGATATTTTGTTTTTTCCCCACTATTCAATTAGATTACGTTCAGAAATAGTTACGAGTTTATAACACAAACATTACTTGGAAAATATTAGGACAATATGTAATAAATACCTTCACTTATTTTACTATGTTTACCATGATATACAGGACTAAAGCGTAGGCTAATATAATATGCAATAAACATTTGTGAACCAACTATACATATCGTGCTTGGAAAGGCAAAAGCACTAAACCGCCATTTTGGCCTTTTGAGGGTTAGTAATTTCTCCTTTCCAGTGACAAAATCTATATCTCATCTTAAGTCCAATGTGTAACATCAAAGGGGGGGATTAATATTTATCAAGATAAACCCAAACGAAACACGAACATAATCCTAATCTGTAATTTGCATAATCTCAAAACTGGTTGCGACGGTCAATACAACTAACCTGCAAATTTTTCTAACACAAATGACATATTTATATAAATAACACCTATTGGGTTCATTACAATAGTCACTTTACCTTTCTGATCCATTTTCAACTGGTTCATGGTTTCGCGAGCACTTTGCCGTGTCTGTGTCGTCGAGGAAATCGGTCGAATGGTTACTTTTTGAAGTCCACTACCAGGTAGCAAAGATGTAACGACTTTCTTTGGTTCTAGTATCTCAACATTTCTGTAGGGAGCAAACATTACTTCATGATCAGCATCTATATCTAAAAAATCTTCTTCGAAATTTTCAAAATTTTCCAAATCAGAATCCAATTCTCCTCTTGACCCATGCATTCTAGGTCTGTAAAATGAATCGGAGTTACGTCTATTCTCTAGATTTTTTGGCTCAGGTGTGGAAAAACTGCGCATGATGTATCCTTTTTGGGTTGTTTGGGACAGCGGACTGTCAGATTCGTGCTGGGTAGCCGGCGAAGAATAACTTCTTGGTAATGGACTTCTAGTGCTCTGCATCTTGCGTTGTTGTTGCTGGTTCGTTCTTGTAGCTATAAGACTTTTTCCTCTGCTTGTGCTGTTGACCGGGAGCGGATCTTTCCGTCGCATTTTATTTAGTTAGAGCAATTCCAAGGCGTGTGCAACAATGCAATATTTGATATCGACTGCGAGTACGACTTGAGGGACAGTTGCATGAAACTTCACTCTGTGCTTTATCCGTGTCGAGTTCTACTAGATCGAATTCCCATATTGAATAACAAGGCCAATTGTAATCAGATGATATATCATATGATAAGCAACGGTGAACACGATCGACTTGTCGATACAGGACACGTTTAGCAAAATGAAGTAGTTTATTATTAGAGTTGGGATTATACACGCACTTAGCTGTTCGATTATATTTATAAAATAATGTATTTAAAGCACTATTTTATTGTAAAACACTTGCACACGAGCTCTAGCATGCAAGATATTAATATTAGCTGAGCCTTCACCGCTGATCATAAGCAATGTACTGTTCGTACCGTTTACTTCGAACTATATATTACACAACCATATCACGACATTATTTTATTATTACAGTGTTTTTTAAACGACACATTGCGAAGCGCGGCGGAGCTTTGGGCTCGAAATGAGAAGAGGCTGCGTGCGCGCACCTTAGTAGCGCGTGGGCTCGTAGGCGAGCAACTCACTTTCCCTTTTACGGGGCCTTGCCGAATCAGCTTTATTATAATTTGACAACTCTTGCAGTAAATACATAATCGCTGTCAAACATTTGCCATCATATATGAGATTTAATTGATTATGATTGCCACAGCGCTTTAAAGGTATTTATGTTGGCTTCATGGGTACAACAAATTAATGTTTTATTAAACTTAGCAACTGTGTTTCAATAACGTGAAAAGAAATGCAAAAATATGGCTAAAATATGTTTACATTTCTGTTCACAGTAGGTACGTATTCTGTTTTTATTATACTTCTTGTTGTTGTTTCTAGTATAAACTCAAACTAAAACTGATACATTACTGATACATACATGTCGTCACATTGACTAAAATCCAGCACTCTGTCATCAGGCAGGTTTCCTTGAGATTTATCTTTATCTGAAATTTATCATGAACAATATTTATTCCAAATATGATAGATCAAAACAACCTGCAAGATCTGAACGGAAAAAATCGCTAGCAAGGATTTTTGTCATCTAACAACGGAGTATAATAAATAACCTTTAGATAGCATAAAGTTTTAGAATAGAAAAATCTATTTATGTTTAGTCTATTAAATACTACTACACCAGATAGTGTATTATAAGGCATTTGATAGAGTTCGCAATGAACATCTGATTCAGATTTTTGAACGTATTAGAATTGACTGACATGACCATACTTTTATAACCAATCTGTACTGTGTCCAGTAGAAGACTAGCATAGCTATAAAAAAAACTGAACTCAAACGTGGCGCAAGACAAGGGTGCATATTATCATCTATTTTATTTAATGTGTATGAAAAGAGAATAATGAAAGAAAGAAACATTTATCCGGCTATTCACAGATAATATTTCAAACATTACAATTAGATACAAGATGTATTAAAACAAAAAGAAAATCATAGATTATAAACTAAAGTACACTATTAGCCGAAAAGGTTAGCCAGCTCAGCTTTATGCTGGGCAGAGCCTCAGCTCTGGTTTTCGACTGGAGCTTAAGAGGAGGTAGATGTGTTTAAAATAATTATGGTATTTAAAAGTATTTAAGGTGTTTAAAATCAAGGGTAAAATAAAATAAAATCACAAGATGACTTACAAGAAGACAAAACTAATTAAAAACGAGAACATATTCATAATTACAAATGATCCTTATGAATGTACATTGTGCTCTTAATGAAGCTTATACATTACAATATAAAAAAATAAAAAAACGATCATAATAATAATATCTCTCATTGACTTACTGTAAGTCAATGATATCTCTGTAAAAATTGTAATAACACTGTGTGAGTAATAATTTTAGTAAGTAATAAATGATAGAAAACAAAAGTTAAATTAGAAGCTATCGCCGTTTATCTGTCGCATCAATGTTATTTCCTTAATTTTACAGAAGCCGATACAGAAACTGCGTTGAGAAAACTGCCTCCGTGGCCGAACGGTTACCATGCCCGACTGCCACGCCATGCCATGAGGTCCTAGGTTTGATTCCCGGGCCGGGAGAAATAGTTGTATGTCCTACAATTATTTCTCTTGTGAGTTTGGGTGTAATTTGTGCTTGTCTATGTGTGTGTCCATGGCACCCGCGACACAGGGTTTCCCTAATGCGGGGCTATGTTGAGTATGTGCGTTATTTATTATTGTTATTTATAAAAGGAGGCGGTAGATCGTTCCAAATCTTCGCTGTGGCGTACTTAAAACTCCCCTAAACTGCTGCCGTTCTATCGTTCTATGGCACGGGACAATTCACCGACCGAGGCGAGATCGCGACGTCCATTTTAAACTTTCAAACAAGTACGGCGATTTTCCATGTTTTATTACACCAAAAAGGAGAGTGGCAAAATGTGTGTATTGACGTGAAGACATATTCAATAGTTTTTCTTGAGCTAAATAAGACGATTCATGATTTCTACTCGTAAATTTTGGCGGTATTGTACTCATAAGAAAATTTTAGGCACGCATTTTTAACCCTCTGTATTAAAGCTTTAGTTTTGCTTAGAAAACGAGGACCATAATTTGTATCTGCATAAGTAAATTTGGACAAAACTAAGAATTCTACCAATTTTAATCGCAAATGTGTACAAAGATATTTTCACATGTTATATATATTTAGACGATAAAAGCAATTGCGAGCAACTCCTGCTTTATGGTATTCAAAACAAAGCTCTGAAGCCGTTATGAGTCCCATTATGAGCAATGGCGAAATCTCTACATGAAGCCGAAGAGGGTATAGTGATAAACGGAGAAGTAATTGAAAATGTAATATATGGATAAGTCCCGAACCTTTGTGGAGAAGAGGCACATTAAGAAGATGAAGTTTTTGTTTTACTATAATTTTAAACCTCGAATATGGCAAATTGATATGAATTTTTAATGGAACTATTTTGTTTTATATTTGGGATCTCAAATTTTGTGACTGTAAAACAACCCTTACCATGGAACATGTAAAGGGCCGTATATGTTCATTTATTTGAAAAATAAACAACAATATCTATACCTATGCGATTTTAGATCCGAAGCAACAGTTTCATTTCCATTTCTAACAATCGCGAAAACCTTAGAACCTTTCATAATATAAACGTCGTATAAACGTCGTATAAACTTCTCATCATTTTTATGTAACATCATGAGAATAAGTCGTCCATGCTGGGCAGGTAGAGCTGGTTGCTAATCTCATCATCATCATAATTTCTGCCAAAATACGTCCATATGCATGTTATGCTATGCTGAACATAGGCCTCCCCCAAAGAATGCCACAACGATCTGTCCTGCGCTGCTTGCATCCAGCGGATTCCCGCAGCCTTCACCAGATCATCAATCCTCCTTGTGGGTGGTCTGCCCACGCTGCGTTACTAATCTAATTCAATATAAGTAACTAAAATTATAGCCATCCTTTTCTTTTACTTTGTATTTTGAATATATTATATGTTATACGTAGACTTATTAGGATTATTGCGTAGATTTATAAAGTTTTAAAATATGATTAATACTGTTTCCGATTATCGGCATTTTCACCCGTCAACCTACAAAAATGTAAACATTTGTAATGTAAAAATCTTTTTAAAATAAATATGCAATTTATATGTAAAACTGCGCCACCTAGTTGATGTCTCACGTACCGTGTGGCTTATGGTAAAACTGAGAACTTGACGACGTTGTTACCCAACTCTACAATTAATTACCAGCGCAGATGCATAGATGGCGCAAAAGTCAAGTCCTATGTGCCTGTAATTTCACCAGAGCCCTTACCCTTCGAAACCGAAATACAGTAATGCTCACATTACTGCTTGGCGGCAGAAGTAGGTAAGGTGGCAGTACTTCACTGGAAGGACTCTTTCACAAGGAGCTCTATTGAAACTCTAAATAAAGCGTGCTAAAGTATCATAAAATTAGAATTTAGAGGACGTAAAATCTGAAAATTTTAATGTTTATTACAGAATAAAGATATAATTAAATCATTATGAGACCTGTAAAGAGCCTGAAACGTTGGTTTGTTTGGAAAAAATATTGCCCCGTGTAGGTACATCAAAATGTACATAATATTTTATTTTATTTATTTATCGTAAATACATTTACACGCTATTACTGTTAAAAACTAATACACCGTGAAAACTAAATAAAACTATAATAATTATGAAAATAATAACAATAAGATGTAAAAATAAAAAAAGGATATAAAATTAACATACAAATGACAAATATCTTACAATTATACACTCAATTCCGTAGTATCCATCATTTCACAGAATCTCAAACATTCACAACGTACAGCAGCCTATCGCCACGCAAGCAAATCACACTCCGGTGCTGATGCCAAGAGTTAACGAACTCAACGGAGCATTGTGATGGCACGGAGCAGCGGCGAGTTCCTATGCGATACCGTACGCGCAAAAGGTACAGCGAATAGTTCACGACTTCGCACTCTAACAACTATCATTAGGGATGTCTGGGACAAATAGCCTTACTAGTTGCCACAGAAGTTCAGAACAATCCGACTCGCCGCGTAAGATCTTTCTTTTTTTTTGACAAACAGAAACAGGTGAGTTGTTGTTCCGCCTCACCTCAAGAGAATTATATTGAAGAATTCCCAGTAAATATGAATATGAATATGAATGACATGGTTATGAAAAGTGAGGCGCAAGTCAAAGACTAGGTACACCAAGATCCTTCATAGAGAAGACACGGTTAAATTCGTTCCAAGCATATATTATACGTGTAACGAGGTGCGCGCACGGCTGAAAGTGCAGACAAAATATTTTGCTGAATTGAAAAGGAACTTATTATCCGAACTCCACTGGAACACCGCGTTGACGTCCTTTTGCAAGGACTCAGCATCTGCTCTCTGCTCCACGCCATATACTAATTTGAGGTCGTCAGCATAAAGCAGACAACGAGCGTTCTTAAGAACTAATTCCATCATCATCATTAATCATTAAATTAAATAAGAGAGGACCCAATATGGAATCCTGACTGGCACCGGATCGAGTATGATAAGGAGCCGACACGAAGCATCTAGGGCGTTCAATGTATTCTCGGTATAGGTATGAAATAATAGGCAAAAAATTCTAAATAAAATATATTTTTCAATATAGTCTCCCATAGCCTCAATACACTTTCGGGCAAATAACTTTTCGATGCCCTCGAAAAAATATTTTTCCTCTTTGCCTGAAAAATGTTCATTAATTGCCCCCTTCAACTCTTCATCGTCGGAAAAATGCTTACCTTCGGATCTTTCTTTAGGTTTAGGAACAAAACGTAATCACTGGGGGCCAGGTCAGGGATGTAGGGTGGATGAGTGATTTCTTCAAATTCCCAATCCCGCACAGCAGCCTTGGCAACGCGCCCTGTGTGAACCGGCGCGTTGTCGTGAAGAAGCAAGACACCAGCGGTCAATTTTCCAGGTCTTTTTTCCTTTATAGCGTCCTTCAAATTGCGTAGGCTGTTTGCGTAAGCTGCGGCAGTAATACTTTGACCCATTTTTGTGTATTCGATCATTAAAATTCCCTCAAAATCCCAAAACACTGTGGCCATGAGTTTTCCGGCGGATGGGCAGACTTTAAACTTCTTCGGTGGGTCTGTTCCTTTTTTATGCCACTGCATGGACTCTTGCTTACTCTCAGGATCATAGTGATGAACCCACGTTTCATCACCGGTGACAATGCGTTCAAAAATTCCACTCGGATTTTCGCTACAGAGCTCCAAAAACCCCTTACTTGCACTCAACTCAAACTTGTTTCTGAAGCGGCGTGAGCATTCGCGGTACCCATCTTGCACTGACTTTTGAAAGATTCAGATGTTCATGAAGGATAGTGTGAATGGTACCCACGGATAGCTTAGTCTTTTCTGCTAATGTTTTCACTCTGATACGGGCATCTTCCAATACAAGTTTCTCGACAATTTTAACGTTTTCTTCAGAAGTGGCACCTACCGGCCCTCCAGCACGGGGGTCGTCTTCAATACTCTCTCTACCCCGTTTAAATTCACTAGACCACTTCTGAATAGTAGATAATGAAGGAGCAGAATCTTGATAAACAGCCACCATTTCTTCATGAATAACTTTTTGAGTCTTTCCTCGTTTTGTAAGGAATTTAATCACTGCGCGGTGCGCGATTTTCGTCAACATTGTGGCGTCTGTCATTGTAGTTGTCTTCTCGTATTGATAACTTGAATACTAATGATGACAATTACATGAAATTTTATATTTATACCCTTAAAGAGTGTTTGTAACTTATGAGGTAATTAATTTACTCTTATCATTAGTTAATCACCCCGATACCGAGAATACATTGAACGCCCCTCGTATAGAAGCATCTATATCTATCTATATAATAGATAGCGAAAAATTTAACCATCTTAGGGGAAAAGCCGTCTCAGCTTGTTTAATAGCACATCATTATCTATGCGATTAAAGGCTTTCTTAAAGTAGAAATTGATAATATGTTCCAGTTGAGATTGCTAAATTAAACATAAAATGTAATGGAATTTTAAGCTGATCCCTACACCCTTTCACAATATATGGTGGCAAGTTGTCAGGCCCTACCGAGCAATTAGGTTTAGTTAGTCTTCTTATGGCCATCTCTACTTCATCCATGGATATATTAGTAACATTGACATAGTTGGCACTGCAATTTTGACTGTTACCCCCCGTAAAGTACGGATCGCCATGGGGAAGTGATTCTGACCCAGAAAATAAATATTATTCCTTTAATCACGTAATCGTCTATTGTATATTGTAATGAAAATATCGTATGCACATTTAGCGCTGTAAATTTTATATTACCATAGGGTATTTATCTAGATACACTAGGGTATCTATTTAGATACCCTATCTAGGCGAGAGAGAGAAATACGTTATTCTTACAACCCTGCGGGTATACAATGATTCGTCCTGAGACATGTATCGTCTAAATCTGCCGTCCATTAACTAAAACGCACTAGCTAAGTGCGAAATGGTCAAATATCCGTTTTAAATAGCAAAAGATAGAGCACAAAATTCTCTTTTAAAAACAGTAAAAATTAGTTTGTTCGACTTATTGAAATTTATCCTAACGATGCATAACTGAAATATCATTAAGCAATTTCAGTATTCAAAATCTGGGTTACGGTTTCTATGATGGTATCTCAAAAATATTTTTTGACACTTTTTATCCATTTTTTTTCCGAGTTTTAGCTAGCGGACGGCAGAAATTAAATTGGGCGTTTAAAGCTTTACCCATTGTAGTTTGCTAGGTCTTAAGAGGATTGGGAGTTAGATACGAGAATATACATAGTTTCATTTCATTCGAAGATAAGTAAAATCCCACCTTTCTGGGCTTGACAAGTTAAGTGTAGTGACTTGCAACTTGTTTCGCGCAACGTGTATAAGTAATGCAAGGTGCACCAGTAATCTCGATTCAACTCCGGTCGCTATTCCGTTCCGACGAATGACGTGCTGCTATTGCAATGCATTGCTGCGCCTTTAGAAATTGTTTGATGTAAAACTCCTCCATAACACACAGCTATTGTAAATACGAGTGATTCTTAGAATTATGTATTATAATTTGATTTTTGCCTTTTCACCTAGTTCTCTTTCCTAGATAATTATAATGTAAACATTTTAAATATGAGAAATAATGCTTGTTTGTCGTTCTGCCAAGCATATGAGGTTAATGAACGCTTCTAGTCTAACACAGAGTCACGGTTAACTTTTTTTTACCACGTGCATTATTCTGTACGCGCCAACTCCAAATCAGAGTTTACTTAGACATTACATAAATAGTGGTTTTCCCAACCTATCGCGAATTCCTACGACATGCAACCCTCCTACCTAGTAGTGTGAGCGAGTAACAAGCATTATACAACGTCAGTCGAGCGCACGCCGCCGCACGCGTCGTCAGTACAGTTCGTAGTAACCGCGCCGCGCTGTATTCTGCTAAAATTAGGACTCGCGCGCACCCGGTGAGCAAATTTTGACTTTACTACATTTCCATGAATTATGTTTTAGAAAAAAGTGTAAAATACCCTACAAATAATTATTGTTGCTATTTCCAAAAGTATATTTGACAGTAATTAATCAAGTATTCCAGTGTTTTATAATGTGTGTGTGTGTGTGTGTGTGTGTGTGTGTGTGTGTGTGTGTTGTGTGTGTGTGTGTGTGTGTGTGTGTGTGTGTGTGTGTGTGTGTGT